TTTTTTTTTTTTTTTCATACGTGTGCAAGCCATTTAAGGATATTAGTTGCCTGTTTTTCCATATGTCAATGGGTTTTTATTTTTTTTATTTTTTTATTTTAAGTATATTAGTAAATTAACTATTTGGTATCACATAAATTTAAATCCCTAGCATTTACCTTAAATTAAGATTTTAAAAATAGCAGTTATCAATTGGACTGAATTTTTGTTGATAATATTCTTCATCTATTGATGCATAAGTGGTTATTATGAAAATTGACACGTGAATTTATATTTAATTTAAAATTAATTAAAAATAAGTAGAGTGATTCTCGTTATATTAAATTCACAATTTTTTGTTATTCTCTCTATATGCAATTTTCTCACTCAATAGACTCTTGCTTTCCAATAATAAAACACAATACCGTATAAAAATTGACATATGGCTTTTAACACAAGACTTATATTTAACATAAAATCAATTAGTAATAAGTGAAATAGTCCATTTTGTATTAAACTCATATGTTTCTTTATTATATCCTTTGATCCACTATAAATATTAAGTTTGAATTTCAAGTTTTATAAGATAAACTCATAATAGACTTCTCGAAAACAAAAACTAGATTTTGATATCACATGAAAACTAAGTTTATAAATTTTAGTACAAGACTTATATCTAATTTAAAATTAATTAATAATAAATAAAATAATTATTTTTATATTTGATCTACGTATTTATTTCTTATATTTTGCATGTGAGATTTTTTTCATTCAAATAGTTTTTATTCAATAAAATTGACATTCTTGAAATTTCAAGGAAATTGACATCCTCGAAATTTCAACAAAATTGATGGGGCGTCTCTTATGCTTTATTCCCTTTCAAGCAAAGAAATATCTTTGCATTAATTCACCCGATTTGCCATCAAATATTATTTATTATTCTTTGAATTTCTTTGCAAAACAGTTATTGACTTGTAATTTTAGAAGACTTGTAATTTTAGAAGCCTTTTTCTAACCTGCTGCAAGTTTGAATTCTTTTCCTAAAATGAAATGAAATATATTAAGAAATAAAATATTAATATTTATCTATTAAATTTATAAAAATTTTAAAAAAAATTTAAAATTATATTATTTTAATAAAATATCACAAAAAATTCTAAATCAGTATCATTTTTTTTAAAAGATAAATTATTGTAATATTTTTTAATAAATTTATTAAACCAACATAATTTTAAAATATTTTTCTTTTAATTTTGTTTTTTTTCTTTTGGTTAATATGCCCAAAAAACATTCTCTTCGATATATTAATTGTTTACTTGCCTTTGCATAATAATCTTGACATATCTGACCTTATCAACAAACAATTCCAGAAAAACATGCTTCCAGAGAACCAACGCTTCAGCGTTTTATTATCTTCCATCTTCATCCTTTTGAACTTGTTGCTTTTGCACTGCTATGCTGCAATTTATAATATAACTTCATCCAATCCATTATCACAAAATGAAATCCTTATCTCCCCCGCCCAAGTTTTCGAGTTAGGCTTCTTTCGTCCTGATAATTCCACTAATCGCTATGTTGGTATATGGTATAAAAATATTGCTCCTCGCACAGTTGTTTGGGTGGCCAACAGAGAGAAACCAGTTATTGATTCAATGGCAAGTCTAAAGATTGGTAGTGATGGAAATCTGAAGCTTGTAGACGGCAATGAAGTAACTCTCTGGTCAACCAATGTTTCTGTCCGATCAAATAGTTCAGTGGATGTCCTTTTGGATAATGGGAACTTAGTTCTACGTGATGGTTCATCTGAACAGGAGTTATGGCAAAGCTTTGAGCACCCAGGTAATAGTTTATTACCTGGTGCAGGTCCCGGGTATGATCTTGAAACAGGTGAGAAACGTGTCTTATCATCCTGGAAAAGTAATAGTGATCCATCACCTGGAGATTTTGTCGCTGAACTTGTAATCCGGTCACCACCACAACCTTTTATTTGGTTATGGATCACTATTACTTAAACTTCATATTAAAATTCATGCTGAAGTGAAATCTAATACTTATGAACTTAAGCACCTGGTCCTTCGGGCCACCTTGAAGGTGCAGTTCCCCTCCCCTTGGTGGGTTCGAAGTTTGAATTCCACCCATGACACTTTGTTCAAAAAAAAAAAAAATACTTATGAACTTAAACTTTATCACAATTGTGTCATTTTTCAGATTTTATATCTTCTCTAAAATTCAAAGATTGTAAAAGTTTTTGAATTTTCAACTCAAGAATATTCAATTCCTTGATTCCTTGATATTAATTGAATTAACTCATAAAAAAAAATTTACCCTAATTTTTAAAAAAAAAATATATGTCATGCAAATATGAATGCAAACTAATGTAAGAATGGGCATTTATAAGTTATTCTTGCCCCCAAACTTAAATCAAATATTGTTCTCAATATAAATAAAAGTAAAAAAAAAAAGAAAAAAAAAACTCTTCTCAAGCTTTGCACTAGAAAATTTAAGTTCTTAAATTGAGTTTTTTTCAATTAAAGGAGACTTCTAGCATGCGAATTTCCAGAATCTTGTCCCCCAAACTTGTTCAATGCCCTCGCCAAAATCAAAGAACAACAATTTATAACTTAAAATATTCAACTAATCAAATAGATTCACCTCTTAGTGAGATGTGAATTTCTCCACATTTATGCATCAAGTTGGGCCATAAAGAGAAAGAAATTGGAAAAAAAATCTAAACTATTAAAATAAAAGAAAAAGAAATAAAAGAAAAGAAACGAAAATTTATTCTTGGGTTGCCTCTCAAGAAGTACTTAATTTATAGTCATTAGCTAGACTTTTTACCACTCCAAGGTGGTTTTGGATCAGGTCGTAGGACATGTCCTCTCGTTTTGTCATGTTCTCTCTTTTTCTTAAATTTTTTCTTTCTTGCCTTTAAGTTGAATCTATTGTAAGATTTTCTCCAATAATTATTCTGAAGTGATTGGGGTTTAGGCCAAGAGATATGCCTTCCCAATTCTTCTAGGATTGCTCCTTTGATTCCAAGTAAGATGAGGATATGTTTAAGCAATTAATGTATTCTTCAATTGGGTCCTTTGCTTAAATAAGATAAATCTCAAGTGGATCTTCAAAAGTGTTTTCCTGCAAAATCTCATCACCCATATCAATAACAAAATAATCATTAAAATCAGATTTGGTTAATGGAGACTCCCATTGAACACTTCAAATGACACTAGAGCTTTTTCCTCTCCGTCCTTAGGGACATCCTCTTGTTTAGTTTCTGCAAGTATACTTTCTACTTCTCCAAGTTGTCCTTCATTCTTTGAGCATAAAGTGTTTACCTCTTTTTCTTGATTTTTCATTGTTACATTAGGTAACTCAGCTTGTATTCAGCAAGTAAGTTACGTGAATGACTTGATTAAACTTCCAGATTTCAATCCAAACATGTCTCCTCTTCTTGAGCTTGAAACTTTGATTGTGGCTCCAATATATCTTCAATATTCCATGAGGAGTTTGGATAATTTATCCAATTAAAGTTGCATGTGTTGGGATGAGAATAATACTATTGGTTATAAAAATCATAAGAAAAATCAACATACGTGTTAGATAGTTTAAAATAATAATCAGAACTAAAATGCTCTAATTAACACCATCGACAAGTACTATTAAATTATTTTATTATAACCTTCTTTAATTCAAACTTTTTGATGACTACTTGAAATTGTTTAAGTTCATCATCATCAAGTTATGTTTCCCAATAGATAGTTATTGCTTCAACTTGTGCCCTTAAATCTAGAGCAAGATATTGATAATTCATATAAGTGTTAATGACAACTCGATTCATAATTAGACCTATAAAAATAAAAACAAAATAAACGAAAAAAAATCAAAGTAAAAAAATAAAAGAAAACGTTCAAATTAGATTTAAAATTAATCAATTTCAATATTAATTAAATTCAACAATCCCAGGCAACGGTGCCAAAATTAAACTTAATGTGCTAAAATCACTCTAGTAAGTATATCAGTTGCTTCAAATAATATAATAATAAGAAGAATGTCGAACCCATGAGGATTGTGATAATTAAATACCAAAATAATTAATTTAAATTTATTTGAACAATAAAAGATGAAGAAACTTTAATTAAAAATAATAAAAAGAAACTAACAATTAAATAAAACTAATTAAGATATGACGTATTAAAACATCGACTTCATCATAGCTAATCAATATAAATTCTAGATTAATATGCTTCTAAAACCAATTTGTTGAGTGCTATTGCATGTAATGGTGGATTCCCTTAAATTAATTAACTAACCTTTTCAAGTCAAGTTAATTCTTCACTTATTTGTTTTTTTTTTTTTTTTTTTTTTTGATAAATGACAAACTTTATTGCTTAATGAAATTGATCATTACATATTGCTCTCGGAAGAGTACCATACTAGACACCTTCCCATGGTGGAGACGAGGTTTGCAATTATGAAAGATTATGAGCTAATCTATTACATTCTCTCTTAACATGCTGGAAAGAAAGAGAATCAAAATGACTTTTTTTTTACCTAGAAGATCCTCAACAATTGCACCAAAAGGAAGATAGCATTCGTTAGTAGAAACAGCTACCATAACACCTTGTAGACAGTCCAACTCGAGCTCAACTGTTTTGCAACCAAACGCTTTCTCGATTTGCAATGCAAAATCAATGGCCATAACCTTAGCTTGTAATATTGATCCTCTAAACTGACTCACTTTTTGTGCTGCACCGAAGACCTTGCTTTCACTATTTCTAAGAACAACACTCAGCCTAACTAAATCTTGATTTGGAGGAATTGCTGCATTAGTGTTGATTTTAATAAAATCTCCTCTGGGTAGTTACCACGCAGTTATCTGTATTGCTCTATCCAGATTTCAAACCCAATTCCCAACCTCACCAATACTTCTAAAGTCCGTAAGGTAATTTGAAAGCCATTTGATAGTATGTTCTGGCTGAGTGCATAAACATTTGAAAGAACAATTATTTTGATTGTGCCATATAGCCCACAGAGTGACTACCACTTGGATTGTGCCATATAGCTCATGGAGTGACTACCACTCGTTCTTTGCAATTCTTATTTAGTGCTAAAAAGGAGTTAAAAAAGTCATCAATATAAGATTCACTCCTTATGTTGTTAAAATCAAAGAAAGGACATGACCCACTCCAAACTAGTTCACTCCACTTACATATGACGAAAAGATGGTGGTAAGATTCATCTTCTACTTCACAAATGCTACAAGTTCTATCAATTTCTATCCCACGATTAAGCAAAGCCAATTTAGAGGGCAGGATTTCCCATACAAACCACCAGAGGAAGTGTTTTACTTTGTGAGGTATATCCAAAAACCAGATAGAATGCCAAACTGGTTTCATTAAATCATTATATTCTTGAAAATCCAAACCATAAATAGTATTCCAACCAAACCGGTAGGTGGACTTGATCGTAAACTTACCATTAGTAGTGCACTTCCAAATGAGACGATCGTTAATACATCTACTGCTTAGTAGGATGTGCTTTATTTTCTCAATGTCCTCAAGTGAAAAAAGTTGGCACAATTTCACCATGTCCCATTGCCAAGATTGAAAGTTGATCAAAGAACTCACTCGAGCATCCAAGTTCAGTTCTTAAAATCTGTCCAGTGGCATAAACACATGTGAATCCTACTCTCACTGGTCTCTCTAGATCTGAATGCTCTCTCCCCCACTATTTGCCAGTATGAGCCCTTTTTTAGGACTCCAAGTCCATCCATAACGCCTCTCTAGACCATGGACGGGTTTATTCTCAATTCAACCCCCAATAGGTCCCCATCTTTAAAATACTTGGCCTTAAGAACTTGATAGCAAAGACTGTTAGTATCTTGCATAAGCCTCTAACTTTGTTTGGCCAACATGACAAGGTTAAAAGCTTGAAAGTCTTAAAATCCCAGCCCACCTAAATTTTTTGGCCTGCAAACTAGGTCCCAACGTAGCTAAAGAATCTTTCGCTTATTAGAATTGTCTCTCAACCAAAAGTTACTGATTATACTATTGAGGGATTGTGGAAAGGTATGTGGTAAATGGAAGCACCCCATATAATAAGTTGGTATGGCTTGCACAATAGCCTTAATCAAAACTTCCTTGCCTCCGTTGGACAATAGTTTATTCTTCCAACCGTTAATCTTAGACCAAATACGATCTTAAATGGAAGTGAAACAAATAGACTTGTTTCTCCCAATAAGAAGTGGCATACCCAGATATTTATCATTTGTAAGGACTTGTTGAATGCTCAATATCTCCTTCACTTTGGACCTCACCTCATTGGAATTGTTGTGAGTAAAGAAAATGGAAGACTTGTTTAAATTGATTTGTTGCCCAGAGACCTCCCCATATTCCTGAAAAATGTTTACTAGCCTAGGAGCTTCTCTCTCAATGGCCGCACCAAATAAGAGATTATTGTCAGCAAAAAACAGATGGGAAATTCTTGGTCCATCACGACATACTACAACACCTTTTAGGGTCCCTCTTTGTAGATCATCAGAAAGCATCGTTGATAGGCCCTCTATACACAAAAGAAAAAGAAAAGGGGACAAGGGGTCTCCTTGTCTAATCCCTCTTGATGGAGTAAACTTCTTGATGAGGGACCTATTGACCATAATTGAGTATTCAACGGAATGGACGTAGGTCATCACTCGTTGCACCCATTGTGAGGGTAGCCCAATTGCTTGCATAACTCCCTCTAAAAAATTCCATTCAACTCTATCAAAAGCCTTACTAAGGTCAAGCTTAATTGCCATTTCACCCTTGTTACCTTGCCTTTTATTTTTAAGATGGTGAACCATCTCAAACACCACCATAATGTTATCATATATAAGCCTCCCTGGCATAAAAGCACTTTGATTTTTTGAGATAATACTCGACAGCACCGGTTTCAATCTGTTAGTGTGTACCTTCAAAATAACTTTATAAAGCACATTGCAAAAAGTTATAAGATGGAAGTCTTTCATTGTACTAGGGTTCTTCCATTTGGGGATTAGGACAATGTGAGTCAGGTTTAGGCCTTTAGGCATAACAATAGTATTCAAGAAACCAAGCACTGCCTTGGTAATATTTGCTCCTATAATTGGCCAGTAAAATTTGAAAAAACCAACATTCATCCCATCAAGCCTTGGTGCTTTAGAGGAGTGAATTTGTCTTAATGTTGAGAGGACCTCCTCATCTATATACTTAGTATCCATAGCCATTGCATCAGTAGGGGAGACTCGATTCCTTATTTTTTGTAAAACAGGAGAAACTTCCCTTCTAGCTTCAGATGTGAAAATATTTTGAAAATAGGCAAGTGCAACTTGTTCAATTCCAATTTGATCGTTTACAACCTTCCCAGAGTCATCCTTCAATTCTATAATCAAGTTTTTCTTCTTCCTTTATGAAGCATGCATATGGAAGAAGGAAGTGTTTTTATCCCCCTCCTTAAGCCATTAAACCCTTGATCTCTGCTTCCATAGAACTTCTTCTTGCCATTGTAGAGCTTTGAGTTCTATCTCAATATTTTCTAGTGCCTCAAAGCTACATTCACTAGAGCTACCGTCATGCAATTGTTGTAACTCATCTTGCAACTTCTTTATTCGTTCTGGAATGTTCCTGAATTTATGTTCACTCCATTCTTGCAAAAGAACACCACTTAGCTCAATCTTATTGAGTACAGTAGCCAGAGCTAAACCACCTTCTTTAATACTCCAAGCCTCCTTAATAACCGATTAAAACAAACTAATGAGTATTAAATTTTATGAAAACCTTTAACTTAAGAACAAGGAGCTCCTAACTCTCGTCTTTTCCTTTACTACCACATATGACACTGCCACTAACCTCCAAAAGCTTCCTTAATTCTAAATTTGAATTATTAGTTATAGGATTTTAAAAAATCTAATTAGAATAAAAGTGGCACTCACATAATAATGATAATAATAATAATAATAATAATAATGATAATAATGATGATAATAGTAATAGTAATAAAAAAGACCTATTGACATTGACACCCTAGATAAGGTGCTGCCACCTTCACTGTATCTGTGTTGAAGAGTCCATGTCGGGATTTTGGCCTTCTAAGCAATTTCTGTTAATGGTAAAATGACAGTCTTGGTTCCTAACTTTTGGATTTTGCAAAAATTAATCCTCATGCTTCTAATCTCTAGAATTTGCTTTTAAAAATTATGATTTCTTCCAATTAAGTCATTTCTTACATAAATAACAAAAATTAAGTAAGATCAAGTAAAATTTTATAAAATTAATCTAAATATTAATAATATCAAAGTAGAAATTCTACATTAATAAATTATTGTCAGCAATTAAAAATTTTAGAGAGATGAGAGAGAGAAGGAGAGGACCAAAGATCGGCAGCAGAGCACGAGGGACGTGGATAGCACAGCGCTTTGAGGGTAACCGCCTGGAGAGAAGGGATCAACCACAACAGCACTATGGGGGTTTTGATAAAAGAATCTACAACCAAGCAATTCCATTCTTTTTCACAAACTTCCCGAAAGAGTGGACATTCGAATAGATGTGGAGAACTTTCAATAGGCTAGGAGAAGGTCGGGTAATTGATATTGATTGCCCAAAGAAGAGAGATTACATAGGGAGAAGGTTTGGTTTTGTCAGGTTCTCAGAGGTGCAAAATGTTGGAGAATTGGAACGAAAGCTAAATTAGATACAAACTGGCGGGTTTAAGCTACACGCAAATAGGCCACTCTTTGAGAAGACAAGGAATGAAATTCACAAAGATAGGAACACAGCCAACAAGATGAGAAGGATGGAGCCGCTGGAGATGGGAAACCAATGGAAACCAACATTTGTAGAGGTAGTATAAAGGAAGAAAATAGACAATCAAGGCTATGAAGCAAAATAAGGACAGCAACAGGGAGCAATGTACAGAGAGGATAACATGAAATCAAAGGCGAGGGAGCAAGGAAAGTGGAGATGGAGGCCAAAACAAAAAAATCCAGCATGGCCCGAAATGGAGCTCAAGGTTAATCAAGAAGAGTCCGAATGGTTGGAGAAATGTTTTGTAGGGATAGTACACTCTGCAACAATGATTCCAACATTACAGGAGAAATTCTTCATGGAGGGGGTTTTTTTCTGCAAAATCAGAGTAATGGGAGGTAGAATGGTTTTACTAGAAAGGTATGACTATGAAGACTTAAAAGAGCTGATTGAAACTGGCCGGGATTGGCCAGGACGCTGGTTTTTAGAGATCAAACCATGGTCTCTAACCACAGTCGCAGTAGAGAGGTTTGTGTGGATAAAATGTTTGGGACTGCCCTTACATGCATGGAAATCAGAATATTTCCAATCTTTTGGAAATCTTTGGGGCACTTTTGTATCTCTCGATGACAGTACAAGCAGGAAAAAACGCCTAGATGTGGCCAGATTTCTCATAACAATACCCATGATGGAATCCATCTCGAAATCCTTAGATATTAAGGTTAATGGGGTTATGTATCATATCAAGTTCTTTGAGGAGGAACATAACAACGGTTTCTACATAATGGATTCGGATTTCAAAATCAAAGGGGACAATCACATAGATGAAGAACACACAGAGGAGAGCTCTGGCGATGAAGAGCACAGCTCAATTGGCTCGGAATTCAAGCATACAGAGGAAGGCGCAGAAGCTGAAATTGAGTCAGTAGACCTATGGGTATTGGAAACAGTGATGGAAGAAGGTGAAAAGAAACTTGATGAGGTGGCATGCATACCGGATAACACATCAGCACAGAAGTCAGTGAACACTCAAAATGGTCAACAAAAGCAAAAGACTCGCACAGCTGAAGAATTCAAATATGCAAATAACGTGCAAGAGGAGGAAATGACAAAAAGGAAGGAGGCAGAAGGGATTGCAACGAACAGATTTGTAAGAACACCCAACAAGCATTTAATGCTTGAAGGGCTCGAGGAGGATGTCAGACAGCAGAATACAAAGATGGGCGTCTGCAGTAATGGCATGGAGACTGGAAATAATTCAAAAGGGGGTTCCAGCGCAGAAGGCTCTTGGGAAAGCAGTGCAAATAACATAATGGGCCTAACGTGGAAGGCTGGAAGGAGAAATGGGCCTAATGGATCGGGAAATACAACAAAGCCCAAGGAGAGGAGTAATGGGCTTGAGGAGGATGTCAGACAGCAGAATACAAAGATGGGCATCTGCAGCAATGGCATGGAGACTGGAAATAATTCAAAAGGGGGTTCCAGCAAAGAAGGCTCTTGGGAAAGCAGTGCAAATAACATAATGGGCCTGACGTGGAAGGCTGGAAGAAGAAATGGGCCTACTGGATCGGGAAATACAACAAAGCCCACGGAGAGGAGTAATGGGCTAAAGGATAATGGGAATTCATCAAACCCATTAGCCTTACAAAGGCCTAATGAAATGAAAAAAAGGAGACAACATGCGGCATTAGAAGATACAGGCTTCACCTGGGAGATTTCTGAAAGTGACGAAGGGGAGCTATCTGAATGAATGAAGACAAGGACAAAAAGAATGAAAAAAGGAAAAATCGAAGAGTGAAATTATGCCGAACAGTATACATGCAATCAGGAGGATTACAAGGCTTTCAATTACAGAGAAAGAAAAAGGGGAAGAAGCTTGTAACAGAGAAGATGACACAGCAGGTCGGCTTTGAAGCAGATCCAGGTCAAGCAGTGGCGAATGACTCCATTAATGACAGCAATATCCAAAATTGCAATAGGGGTATCATAGTGAAAGACAATATCAAAGACACAGAAGCTTTATGGAATCGAATTAAGGATCTAGGGATCTCAACAATAGGGGATGAAATACCGATGTTGCACAAGCTTGAGGAGATGGAAATGCGGGATAAAGAAGAAAAAAAAAGGACAAATCAAGCGCTCCCAACCAGGTGCTTGATAAATTTTCATGATTTTGCTTTCTTTGAATATTAGGGGGTGGGGAGGGTGTGGGAAAAAGAGAGAAGTGCGGGAGTTGGTGATTAAACAAAAAGTAGAGATTCTTTTCCTGCAAGAAACAAAAGTAGATAAAGTAGATAGAAGATTGTGTAGAAGTTTATGGGACTCAGATAATATGGAGTGGGTGGCATCACCTGCCATGGGAACCTCTGGAGGATTAATTACCATTTGGAATATTGATTGTTTTAAGAAAATTAATGTCCTTGAAAGGGACGATTTTTTGGCAATTTATGGACTATGGGGACCGGAGAATTATCCATGCTTTTTGTGCAATGTCTACTCACCATGTGATCTAGAAAGAAAGAGAATTTTGTGGATTGAACTTGAGAAGTTGTTAAGAGACAACAGAGGAAGCTGGTGCATTGGAGGTGATTTTAATGCTATTAAAAGTCAATAAGAAAGAGCAGGAGGCAAAAGTGTGAGAAGGGATATGAAGGGGTTTGAACAATTTATACTGAACAATGGTTTGATAGACCTACCACTGATTGGAAGAAAATACACATGGTATCAACCAAATGGCCATTGTATGAGTTGTCTTGACAGATTTTTGTTCAATGATGAATGGCTAATAAAATGGACTAATCTCAAGCAATGGGGACTCCATAGATCCTTGTCCGACCACTGCCCAATAATAGTAAAAATGAGGTACGTAATTGGGGTCCAAAACCTTTCAGATTTTTCAATGCATGGCTACAAACACCTAGTTTAAAGATATGTTTGCAACAAAGTGGAAAGAGCATGATATTAAAGGATGGGCTGGCTTCATTTTAAAGGAGAAACTGAAGAGAATAAAGGAATTTTTGAGAGAGTGGTCAAAGGCATCCTTCCAGGAAGTGGATAGGAAGATTGATGAAGCTAGGGAGATGATAAATAGGATAGATGGCAAAGAGGATAATGACAGCTTAATAGAAGAAGATATTATACTCAGAAATTGCCAACACACTGAGTTATTAAAGAATATGCAACTGAAATAAGAGATGGCTCAGCATAAAGCATGAAAAATGTGGATGAAAACAGGACATGCTAACATCAGATATTTCCACAATTCTATTAAGGGGAGATGGCACAGGAATGAAATAAATGAAATCTCCGTAGGAGGCAAGGTATTGAAGCAAGTGGAAGAGATTAAAAAAGGTATCATGAAGTACTATGCAAGCTTATTTACTGATGAAGGATGGAAGAGGCCAACTTTAGAGGGGTTGAACTTCAAGTCAATATCGGAGGCAAACAGATGTATGCTCACACAACCGTTCACTGAAGATGAAGTGAAATTGGTAGTTTGGAGTTGTGACAGCTCCAAAGCACCAGGTCTAGACGGGTTTAGCTTCGGTTTGTTAAAAAATGAATGGGAGGTGATTAAAGTTGATGTCATGAAGTTCCTCACAGATTTTCATAAAAATGGCAGATTGGTAAGGGGCTCAAATGCCTCCTTTCTTGTTTTAATACCGAAGACAGAAAATCCCCAAGGCATCAAGGAGTATAGACCTATCTCTCTAATTGGATGTCCCTACAAAATTCTGGCCAAATTGTTAGCAAATAGACTCAGCAAGGTACTATCCACAATCATCGGAGAGACACAATCAGCATTCATTAAGGGAAGACAGCTACTTAATGGAGTGATGGTCACGAATGAAGCAATTGAAGGGATGAGGAAGAAAAAATCCAAGGGCTTTATCTTCAAAATTGACTTTGAAAAAGCATATGACAATGTCAGTTGGTCTTTTCTTGATTATATGATGGAGAGAATGGGCTTCAATAAAGTCTGGAGAGGATGGATATCGGAATGCTTAAAATCTAGCATAGTGTCCGTTCTAATTAATGGAAGTGCCACCAAAGAGTTTGCCATGTCAAGGGGGCGCAGGCAAGGAGACCCGCTAGCCCCATTCCTATTTTTGATAACGGCAAAAGCTATAAATGGACTAACTTCAACAGCTATTGCAAAAGGCTTCCTTCAGGGAGTAATAGTCGAAGATGGAGAGCTAAGGATCAGCCACTTACAATTCGCAGATGACACATTATTTATGGGTGAAGCAACAAAAAATAATATATGGACAGTTAAATGCATCATGAGAGCATTTGAACTGGTGTCCAGCTTGAAGGTAAATTATGGGAAGAGCTCTTTAATAGGAGTTAACACTGAAGAAGAATGGACCACAAGTATGGCATGGATGCTGAAATGCAGGATAGATTCTCTTCCCTGCAAATATCTGGGAGTGCCATTAGGGGCAAACCCGAGGAGAATAGACACTTGGAAACCCCTAATCGAGAAGTGCAGAAGAAAACTCTCATTATGGAAACATCGATTCCTATCTTTTGGAGGAAGAATCACCCTCATAAACACTGTGCTATCAAGTCTACTAGTGTTTCTGATGTCATTCCACCTACTCCCTAAAAAGGTAATATATGAACTTGATAAAATTAGAAGGAATTTCTTATGGGGGGGGCATTGGGGAGGGTAGAAAGATTGCATGGGTGTCTTGGGATAGAGTTTGCTGTACAAAAAAAAGAGGGAGGTTTAGGGGTAAAAAATTTGAGATTGTTTAATATGGCCTTGCTTGGAAAATAGTGGGCGAGGATGATAGGAGGAGAGAAGGGATTATGGAGTAAGGTACTAAAAGAAAAATATGGAAGTGATGAAGGGAATTGGCTAGAAAGGATGAGAGAAGATCAAGGTATAGGATCATTTTGGTGGAAAGACATTTGCAAATTAAACACAAACTTAGGAATTAAAGAGGGATGGCTGGAATCAAATTTCAAGTTTAATTTGGGGGATGGGAAGTCCATTAAATTCTGGAAAGATGTGTGGGTGAGGGGGGGAGTCATTAGCTAATGCTTTTCCTAGACTTTTTTCACTAGCCACAGGAAAAAACTGCAGCATACAAGATATGGGACAATGGACAGAAGGGTGCTAGAGCTGGAGATTATAGTGGAGGAGAACATTTCGAGCTTGGGAAGAGGACTCACTACAAAAATTGCTCGAGGCCATAAAGGACACAAAGCTGGTGCAAAATGCTGAAGACACATGGAGCTGGAAACTAGCAGATGAGGGAAAATATACTACAAGGTCAACATATGAGTGGCTTGCAAACAAGGATGAAAACAAAAAGCTCGATTATAAAAAGCTGTGGGGTGAACAAGTACCATCAAAACTGATTGCTTTTTCATGGCAAATGCTTTTAAATAGAATCCATACAATGGTCAATTTGGCAACACATGAAAGTTTAAATGACACTCAAAATATCATGTGTTATTGGTGTGATTCATGGTCTAAACATACAGATCACCTATTTCTATCTTGCAAAGTTTCTTACAAGTTATGGACTAGATGCATAAATTGGTGGGGGCTATGTTATGTCCTCGGAAACACATGTATGCAGGTCTTCCACCAACACAGATGGCTAAAGGGTCCAAAAAATTTAAAAAAGGGATGGAACATGATGTGGTATGCCATAGTATGGTCAACGTGGTTGAGTAGAAATGAAACCGCTTTCCAAGAAAAGGAGCTCAATGAGGATAAGCTGTTCGAACGCGTACAAACTTGCTCATTTCACTGGGTTAGAACTCTATTGAATCTAGAACACATTTCTTTTATAGATTGGATTTCTAATCCAGTGAGATGTTTAATTACCAAGAAATAGAGGATAGGTGGGAAGATAGTTCCCAATTCTTTGACTGGGGTGGCTTTTGTTTTTCTACTTTTAGACCCCAGGGCTAGCATTTTGATGATCTTATAGATGTATATGGGTTGAGTACCCCTTGTACTCATTTAATATAATTCTTTTGCTATTCAAAAAAAAAAATCTACATTAATATATATATATATATATTTAAATTCAGCTCATCACTCTTCAAAAACAAACAAGTTAATAACAGCAGAGATGCCCCAAGTTTAGCAAAATAGTTAGCTGCACCATTAGTTTTGCGGTAGATATGAGTTAGCCAAACATCGAAAAAACACTTCATAGGCTACCTGCAATTGCAATCACTGACCAACACAGCAAGAGGGTATGATGAAGATATATCGTCATCATATCAAGAAACATTTTAGCACATTTAGAATCAATTTCAGCTAAAAGTTTATGAAAAATCCTATTGACAGTCAATTCTGCATCTCTGAAAGCCCATAATTCTGCAACTATGCTAGAAGTCCTACCAACACTACAAGAAAATGGGTTTTCTGTGACAGAAAATGGGTTTTATGTGACTGAAAATGGGTTTTCTGTGACTGAAAATAGTGATTGATTATCAATTGGTCACTAATATTTTTTATATTTGTGACTAATTTAAGATAATAATCACTAATATTAATTTTTAATATTATAATATATAATTTGGACACAAAAATAATATTTAGTCACTACAAATTTGTCACAATAAACTACTTAAATTTGTGACGGACAAAATCATCACAAATAAATTAACTATTAGTTACTTGAAAAATATTAGTTACAAAAGATAAATTTATGTCACAAATGATCTTTTTTTTCTTGTGACTAAAATTATGATTTGTAACAAATATATTTTGTGACTATATGCGGTTTGTTACTAAAAAAATTCACAAGATGTAACAAAATTTTTTGTCACAATTAATCCACAATTGAACTTAAAAAAATAAATAAATTAGTTACAACAATATTAGTCACTATAAATTAGGTGAATATTTTTGACTAACAAAAATCTGCCACAAATAAAGAAATTTCATCATTTATAAATTTGGTAATGAAAACACTTAAATATCACCAAAATAAATGTGCTTTTTTAAAAAAATAATAATCCATAATTTGTGAGATGGAGAAAATTCATAATTAAGTGTAGATAAAAATCAGCATCATAAAATTAACATTTAAAAAAAAATAATTTAGAATAATAGATTTAATACAATTTCATGAATTTCTTTAATTGTAAAATATCAATTTTAGTCCCTCAATAATATTTTAAATTTTAATCCTCAAATTTTAAATTCATTCAAATAGAGCCCTAATGTCACATTTAAAATTTTCTATTTCATCTCTCAACCCACAAAATGAAGGTTCCGTTAGTTTTTTGATGGAACAATGTGTCAACAATCAGGGCTCATTTGCCACTGTTGAAGAGTCTAAGGGGTGGTATGCTTCTGAATTTGATTTAAGGGTTAATTTGTCACTAATAATCAAGTTTAAGGGGTATTTTGCATGATTTGCAGCATAAAAAATAAAAGCAGGGTATAGGTTCAAACTAATGAACCTTTTATAAAAGTTGGAGGATTGAATTGCTAGAAGAAAGTTCTTTTTTGGGACCTAAATAAATGAATGTTAAGTTACGTATTAAAGTGCTCATTCTACAAAAGTTGGAGGATAAGATCTACAATTTTGCTATTAAAAAATTGCGAAAAGGAGCGAAAACCCAACACGGGTATAGTGTCGACACATCCTTCGTGGTGTCAATACTAAAAGCATGTCCAGCATCAATAATTTCTTTTTTTGAATCCAAGTCCTACTTCTTTTCTCATATAGTTTCCTAAATTCTTTTATAAATCAGAGTTCGCCAGATGATGGGTCATTGCATTTGCTTGACGCGCCTCATAAGGAAAATGAGAAAACATAACCAATGTACACCAACTGTGGTATATGGCTATAACTGTTGAGCAGTAACTTCTCTTAGGCAAAATAATGCAAAAATAAAATTTGATTCTCTATAAAAATCATTTGGGTGCTACACTTTGATTATTTTTTTCTTAACACTTCTATCCATGACTTCAAATCAAAATTTTTAAGTCTATAAAAACCAACTTAGCCTAATTCTTTTAGGTAGCACTAAACTTTGATAAACAATTATTGATGTCTCATTATCCTAGGTCATAAGATCAAACTCATGCTTTATTAGACAATTCAAAGGATGCATATGCTGATTTTTGAACCTCCAAAAACGTAAATGAAAGTCATTTCTTTGACAAT